GAGCACCGTTCCTACCCCTACTAGAGACACCACCAACATTTGGGAGCTCTTTACGTTTCTGCCACAAACTACATAAAAATTTCTTGCACATCGTATCCCCGTCCTCTAGGGCCTCTTGTGCCCACCATCTATCCCCAATTATCGCGATTGTTTTTTCGCTGTTGTCTAATTTACCAAACTTGTCCATGTCACACCCTCGCTGTCTCATGTCCTCCTCGAGATCCTCTCTTTCCTTCCTGTACAACTCACACTCCCCAACTATGTGGGGTCTACTCTCCTCCGATTTGCCACATGGACATGTGTGTCTATCCTCCTCTTCCTCTCTCCTACGGCTGGTATACCTCTTCCTCCGTTCTGGCAAGTCCAGATCGCCTACTCGAAATTGCAATTTCAGCTTTTTCGCGTAGTACATGGGGCCGTCCAAGTACGTCTTCATCCCTATCCCTTCTTTCAACTTCCCGTATATCTCCAAGTGGTCTTCGCTTCGTACCTTCTTCCGAAGGGTTGCCTCCTCCCTACTTTCTAGCATCTCCTTGACGTTCGTCTTGAACCCCCCGAACCCTTCCGTGTCCAACGTCTCCTATCTCCTTCCAAACCTTCTCTACCACCTTGTCCCATCTGATTCCCTTCTTCCCTGGAGTCAGTTTTCCCCAAGCTGCCTCGTCAACCATGGCTGGTAGTCTATCGTCCGACATTCTACTTACCTTGTACTGCCAATTCAACTTCTGCATGTCTCTCTTTGTTTTAAGAGAGTACATTCCCAATTCTGCTCTCAATACAGTGTTGCTCGTTGTACTTGGACATCCTAGTATTTTCTTGGCCGCTGCCATCTGCACCGTTTCCAGCTGCTTGACGGCCTTTTCGTTACCTTCCCATACCTCTCCTGCATACTCTAGCTTAGGTACAAGGAGGGGGGGGGGGGGGGGGAAACCCCAGCAACCACAACGAGCAGGCGCCCCCAAAAAGGTGGTGACGGCGACAGTGCCCCTGGAAAACACCCACCCCTGAAATTCTTGATGGGGTGACGATTCCAAAAACAGGACTGAACGCGAATTCCAACACCCCTTGGCACCCCGACGATACAAACCACACCAGTCCAACGCGACGGCTCCTCACCTAACCTTGTCCTGAATGATGTTGGCCTCTCGCTCGTACCACTGCCCGAAAGGGTGGGAGCCAGGGACGATGCAGTGGTGGAAGATGCACCCGAGGGAAAACACGTCGACCGCCTGCGTGCGGCGGGAGGAGGACAAGCTAGGGCCGCCGGCCATCGCCCAGGACGAAGCGCTCGCACCGGACCCAGATCTAGACGTGGACAAGGAGCTGCTGAACAACGACGTCCGCCGCGTGGGAATTCGAGGCCGCACGGCCGGGCGTTTTCGTAAGGGGAGAGGGGGTCGGTAGCGAGGGAGGGGGGGGCCGAAGGGGGCCGATTTCTGAGGACAAATGCCGACAAAATCGGGGACTGACAGAAACCATAGTCTCTACCCATAGATTCGATCTCATTTCTTCGTGCAGGACAAGGTCCATGGTCATCGAAAGAACCATTTGCTCACCTTGCCGAGAACTGAAATACTATGCCCCCGGGGTAATAACTCTGTGGATGTTCACAAAACACAACTGTGTGGGTGTCATGTCTTGGTGTCGTGCCCAGAGTGTCCGCCTACACACCTTTCTGCTCCCCCCCCCATGGCCGCCGGCGGGCCCTGACCCCCCTCCAGGCTGACGCGGTCAGCGATAACCTCAGGCGCCTGCCAGCCTATGCTGCCCACGTGCCCGCCTGCGGAGGAGGACGCCTGAGCGTTCGAGGCTCTGGCGCGGGCGGCGGCGTCACCGCCGCCGCCGCCCTGCCCGTGATCTCTTCCCCCCGGCGCACGGCCGTACGAGGACATGCCAAAACTGATTGGGTTTGTAGATAGAATAGCAGCAGCAGCAGCAGCAGCAGCAGCAGAGAGGAGGGTTAGGGTTACGTTGGGGCTATGTTTGTGGGGTGGATGGTTCAATAGAACCGCCGACATATATGGACAGCAGAGTCAAAGAGCACAGGCCTGTCGCTTCTAGTCGTTGTGTAGCATCAATACGGTCGCAGTTGCTGTTGGCGGGGGCAACCGCACCGTGGCATCGCCAATGCCCTCTCACGCACCACGTTGCACGTCCAAAGGCGAGACAACGTCCTATACAGATAGAATTACCGCAGACTGGTGCAGCCATCTGATCCTTCTCGAAGCCCGATGCTCTGCCCTCAAGCCTACCTGCTCTGCCCGTTCAGCAACTGCTTCCCAAGCCCCATGTCCGAGATCTTGAGCACGAATTTCGCCAAATCTTGCATGTTGGACAGTTTTTTGGGGGCTACCTGAGGCCCGTCTCCGTCCCCCACCCCCCCGCGCTCCCCGCCTTCCGCCTGCTGTGCCCCCACCGATCTTCTGCCCAGCCCCGGCCCTTTTCGCTCCTTAGCCGCGAGCAAAATGTTGTGTGGCTTGAGGTCCCTGGAGGTGTCCCATGTTCAAAAACATGATACGAGGGGGGGGTGCTGAGATCTAGGCACCATGAGGAACGCCGAATTGTCACAAGAGTACAACTACTGACAATTATATGTTCACCGCCAACCACTTGAGGTGAAACATACCATAACACACAAAAACGATCAGTCTTGGACTGGCTTGGGTGATCGTGCGCGAACGTACTGTGCGGGCGTATGTGCGCACACAACCAAGCTGCTTCAGGTTCAGGTAACCTCGAAAATTCGTGACGCTTTCGCCCACCAAGAACGCAACTCGTTGCCCACCTCACTCACGCCCCACACCAGTCCGGGAAAAAAAACAAAAAAAACGCAAAACACGACCGTCTCCCTCTTGCCGACGAAATCGCTCCCCGTCGCTCCCTCCTCCTACCAATTCACACCAGATATCACCGCGCTTGGGAGGCGTGACTCCACGTTTGTATTGCCGACCAAAAAACATTTGCGCTTTTGATGGGTCACCTGTGAACGATCCTCAGGCTGTGCAGGTGCTCCACCCCCTGGCTGACCTGCAGCAGCGCCTCTCTCAGCTCTCGGGGCGCGCCTACGTCGTCCGCCGTCAGCGCCCGGCCGAGGCCTACGCGGGGGGCACCGGAGCGGCCGTTCTCGTGCTCCAACTTCCGGCGGGACTGGGCCTGCACGCACGCACGCGACGCCGACGAGCGTGGGGCAGCGAGAAGGATAACCGCAACGGGAGAGAAAGGGGGGGGGGGGGGGGGGGGTTT